ATTTTTACAATAAATAACTTAAAAATCATTTATATACGTACCATATACAATTAATAAATAAAATTATATATAATATATATAATGGTATATAAATGTATAAAAAAACATTAATAAAATTTCAGGTACTCAGGCGGTCTCAGGCTGCCCGACCGGGCTCAGGCAGCCAAAGCCTACCCGAAGCCCGTCCATGGTCATTCTCAGGTTGGGTCGGGCAGCCCAAAAATTCAGGCTCAGTCATCGGGTAAAAATTCAAAATTTACAGTGGTCGCGGGAGGCCCGTTCAAAGTTTCAACAATACATGTGTATAATACATGCTTTTAAGCTAATTTATATATATATATATATATATATATATATATATATATACACACACACATTAAGCGTGCCCTTAACTATTTTCTTCTCCCTCTAAAATTTGCCCTCAGACTGAAAATGTTTCTAACTCAAACTTTTTGAACTCTGTAAGCGTCTCAAATTGAATCCGGTAAATTGCAAAGATGATCTCTAAACTCTTTAGTAAATGACAGTTTAATCCCTGATATTTTTTTTGGGCAAAATGACTTCTAAATTTTTTAAAAGGTGATAGTTTGGTCTTTTCCGTTAAATTTCATTAAATTTTTAACAAAACATGTGACATGACTTATCAAGTCTCTATTTTTTTAGTAAAATGACTTAAATGCCCCCTAAAAAAGCTTCTTCTTTCTTCACTTTTTTCCCCAAATTTCATCGGGAACAATGGCAATTTCAGAATGCTCACGCCACAGTGGAGCTCGATGCTCCTTGGGCGAAGTCACCAGATTTCATGGCGGATTTTGGATCTCGTTTCTCTCTCTCACGTTCCTCTCTCTTCTCCATTTCTTCTCTCTATGTTTGTTCTGTGTTGCGATGCAAACTCTGTCAATTAGAGATCGCGAATCACAGAAGCTTGTCGTGTGGCTAGTCCCCTTGCAAACTAGAGATCGACGGTCTTGTTAGGATGGACTCAAGAATGGCGGCGCGCGATCTCAGATGATGCCAAATCTTGGCTCGATATCTGGCGGTCAGTGAGAGAGAGATCGCGTGGAAGACAAGCAGAGTGCTCGGAGGAGAGAGAGAGGGAGGAATGGGCACCAGCGGAGGAGAGAGAGGATGGGCGGCGGGGAAGAGAGAAACTAGATCTGAGAAGAAAGAAACAGGAGAGAGAAGAGATTCTTCAGTGTGACAAATTACACAGAGAACTGGAAACAAGATCACCAGATCTTCAAAGAACAAAATTACCAGATGGAATACACGAAGAAAGAATGAAAATACTGGACAATTCAACTAAAATTTTATTGACAGCAAAACCTTTTCTCAAGTCTTTACACTTTTGAGAAAGATCTCTCTCCATGTCAATCTCACTATACACTGGAATCTTTTTCTCTCTAAAAGCATATCACTCAAAAAAAAAAAGAATAAAAAAAACCGAGAAGATAAAAACTAATCTCTGAACCAATCTAATATATCCACGTAACAGCTTTATTTAAAAACACGTTTAATTCACTGATTTTAGTTTTTAATATGAGTTGAGATGTGATTTTATGTGAGAGTTTTTTATTGTAGTAAAAAAGTTAGATGTGACTGTTTCTAAAAGTTTTTTACTATAACAAAACTTGAATTTTAAACTCGAATCGATAAAATGAACGGGACCTAAATTCTTGATTCACTCTAGGAATGCTCACCAAAACTCTCCTGTTATGTAGACTGAGTCAGCCACTTGCTTACCATGTCACCAGATGAATTTGCAGCCATATCACAAAATTCGGCATGACCTGCAGCCAGCTCTTCGACGCAGCCGACCTCTATCTCCACACCAAGCTTCCCCCTTCCACCTCCCGCCTCCGCATCTCCAAGCTCCCTCGCCAGAAATCCCTAGCCATCGCCATCGACAAGGGAGAGCTAGTCCTCAACGAGTTCGAAGCATTCCGTCTCAAATGGCGCGTAAGGAAGTCTCTCACCACCATGAAGATTCTGAAGGGATGCGCTTCTTCCTTGGCTGAGTTTCCATGGAAATACTCGGTGATCTCCTTAACTAGTGAAAGAGCAACGCTCTCTTGGGCTTGAATTCTTATAATATCTTCCTCAGCCATTTTCATGAACCTGTTCATCGATTCAAAGAATTTTTGGTTACTTTCGTCTAATCCTATTGTCTCATTTAGTTTCACAACCTCCTTTATGTCGCTAATTCCTTTAGATAGCTTGGAGACATCACTACTGAGCACGTCGGAGTCCATGGCAGCAGCTTTCTTCACGTTGGTGAGCTCTGAATTGAGACTAGAAACAACGGAATTTAAGTCATTTTACTAAAATGGGAAAAAAGAGAAGAAGAAAGCTTTTCTAATGGGGGCATTTAAGTCATTTTACTGAAAAAATAGTCACGTGATGACATGTTCTTTAAAATTTAACGGAATTTGACAGAAATGATTAAACTGTCACTTTTTAAAGAGTTTAGGGGTCATTTTGTTAAAAAAATTAAGAACTAAACTATCACTTACTAAATAATTTAAAAATTATATTTGCAATTTACCCCTCAATTAAAGTTCCAGATGAAAGATACAATAATCGTGCAATTTGACCTAAACAATAATCTCAGCTATTATTGTATATTTTTATTGTTTATGCATTTTCTATTATATGCTTCTTTTTTTAAGATAAAGAATATCAAATTAAATTATGGTATCTTTCATTTTACTGATTTAAATTTAAAATTTAAATTTTACTACAGTAAAAAACTTTTAAAAACAATCATATTTAACTTTTGTATTATAATAAAAAGTTTTCACATAAAATCACATCTTAACTCAAATCAACGAACTAAAACGAATTGAAATGCTTCTTTTTTTTCATTTGTTTTTTTTTAATATGCCTTTTCATGTTTTATTGTTGTAGGTGTGTGTACGATTTTGTTTTTCATTTTATGCTTTACACTTTGAGTTTAGTCAGTTTTAAGAATATGAAAATTATATTTTCTCTATAAAATGCAAATTAGAGTCGCTATGATTGTTTTTCCTTACATCTGAATTTTGAAGAGGTTTTATTCTCGGAAGATCTTATACCTAAAAATAATGGAATGCAAACTCCTTTTTCTCCCTCTCCGCCACTAGAAATCAACAGCCTGCAGGAAGAAATGATTACTTTCTATTTTGAATGTTTTGTGCCTTTTGGAATAAATCAGAGATATGCTATTTCAGCTAAATCCTATATGCTAATCATTCACTAAATCATATAATTAAATCTATTTATACATCAATGAAAACTGGAGATAACAGTTTTACCCGTGGTATAATTAAGTACCCGCAGGTACCCATATCTAAAGGTGGGTATGCAGATATTATATAGGAGTGGTGCAGGTATGGTTAAAACTAACCCCCGAGTTAGGGTGGGGGCACAGGTGGGGGAAGCTACCCCACTCCCTTTTCCGGCCAAATTACATTTACCAATATGAGCTATATACATTGTAAAATATTTTAAGGGCCGTTTAATTCGCTGATTTGATTTTGTAATTTAAATTGATATGTGACTTTATGTGAAAATTTTTTACTGTAGTAAAAAAGTTAGATGTGACTGTTTTTAAGAACTTTTTACTATAACAAAACTCGAATTCTAAACTTAAATCAGTTAAATGAACGGAGCCTAAATTTAATATGGAGGTTAAAAAAGGGATACACTTTAAAACAAGGAATATGTTTCTTAAAGTTGTAATGCCTTGGATTGTTTTTCAGTTTTTAAAATTTGATTTATATAATAACGCTGCAATAATAGGTTTTTAACTCTGAAGGAATAATGAGTAGGGTATGAAATTCAATTTTAAATTTTAAATTTTATTATAGTAAAGATTTTTAAAAATAATTAAATTTAACTTTTTTAGTAAAATATAAAATTTTTATATAAAATAAAATCTTAACTCAAATTAAAAATTTAAATAAACAAACTAAACAGATCCTTTGTAAATCATTCAATATAGACACGCCGAGAAAGTTCATACCATGAGAGGTTGCATATATCATTACTGGTGTGATCATTTCTCGTCGAAACACAACAAATTTACGTTTATCGCATCAACAAATCTCGACTTTGTTTCTTTCCATCTTTCTATCTCCTGAAAAAAAAAAAAAAAAAAAAGAAAAAAAAAGAGACAAGGCTACAACAAGAAACGGTTTCTCTCCTCATCTGTAGGGCATGCATTATAGACCTGGAGATTACATATCTAATGGTGCAAATCATATAAGGTGCAGTATTAGGCAGCAGATAATGAAATGACGCACGAGGCAAAAAAAAAAAAAAAAACAAAGAAACAAAAAAGAAAAAACCTCTTCCATGACCTTTTCCAAAATCTTTCAATCTCTTGTACCCAGGACCCAATTAAAGCCCATAAAAGTAATACATAAACATTCAAATTATTGTGTCATTTTTCTCCGAGGGTTTGAACCGCAATCATTTAAACTTTTTTTTGCTACAATGAAATCCAGCACAGCCTAGAATAACGGCTTATCAATGAAGGAAAAAAATTCTTCATTGTAAGTCCAATCAAGTTTCATGGAAATCACATTAAAAGCTTTCTTAGCTAGTCCACTAGCACATTATGGATAAGATTACTTAAAGCTAAGCAAAAAAGTATGAAGATGCCCATTTCCCATACGTGATACGTTAATGGATTTCATTTAGTACTGGTGCAATTGGGCTGTGTAAACAATCAAAGCTTTAATGAAAGCTTTAGGGACTTGCTTGGCAGTCACTAACAATATCTAACCCTTAGAATTTTGCTAACAACTTGCCAAAGTGTCACGAAAAAGGCTTCAGATTTTGAAACTAACGGTGCCAATTTGGCCCCACAAACATTCGAAATACCACATAATTTGCAACGAAAGCACAAATTGAATCACAAATCAAATCCATACGGTTGGCCCCTTATGCAGATACAAAATAGTTGAATTACAAATACTTATGTGTACTTGATTCAAAATCTAGTTTCCATCAATCCCTCAGTCAGCTAGAGATTCCCCTTTATTCTGGTTGAAATATTTCCCAAAGCGCTTCTCTTTTTTACAGTGCGTGCACACAACTTTATACACTTCAATCAAGAGCATTGGGAATCGCCATGTAAAATAGTCATCAATTTCTTCATAACACGATCCAACTAGTCTCTGAAAAAAAAAAAAAAAAAAAAAAAAGGGAATATTAACCTTGAGAAACTTCAAAATCCTATGTTATGTGAAGACGTATCAAAATTCTATAGTAATACTACAATCACCTGGATATTGTCCGGAAGTTGTTGATAATGTTTACAAATATCTCCAATCAATCGCAACAAATCTCGAACGCTATTAAACTTGTAAGCCTCCCTTGCATACGTGGAAATATGCTTGATTATCTTGTCATTCACCTTTTTGTTCCATTTCAGAACCACATTTAACAAACACATCATTTCTGTTTCGAAAATTGTGTCAGCTGTAGATTCGAGCGCGTTGGAAATATCAGAGTTCTTGGTTACTCTGTCACTAGTGTCACGGAGGAAAGAAAGTCTCTTCTCCGCATCCCAGAACAGTGGATGGAGCAACACCTCATTTGCTTTTGGCCTGCCAAGAATAACAAGTGTTGTTTTCATTAAGAAACAAAGGATTCAAGCTATATGCTAAGTTTCTTTCCTCTCAAGCGAAACTTTCGAACCTATTCCAATGTTCTCCAATTCACTAAAACAACAGCAAGGCCATGTTAGAACATATTGATATAATTTAATAGATTTATAATTATTGATTAGTATTGATTAGTTCCAAAAGCATCTATATAATGAAGAATCCACGTTCAAGGAAATTATAATATCTCACCTCTCCTGATGATCCGCTTTCAATAAAAGAGAAATAAGTTCAAAAGCTTCAGGGAAATTATGTAACAAATTCAGGTTCTGCACGATGTCCTTTTTAATATTCATATTACGTTCATCATGCTCCCCAAATGGATGGATACCACGAGTGATGCAAAAAAAGAGGAGGCAGCCTAAACTAAACAAATCCATTGCAGTTGTTAGGCGTTGATCAGAAGAAATTACAGGAGGGCGTTCATCTGCAAGAAGGCATTCTTTTGCTTTCCAGCCCATAGTGCCACAACCTATAGTTCATTTGGAAAAAAAAAAAAAAAAACATTCATCAGAGCAATTAAAATTAGGTTAAGCAAAAATGTCATCAAACATCAATTCATAGTAGCTTCCATTTAGAGCATGTTCACTGGGGTTTCCATATGACAAATGCACATTTATACAAGACATGATTAATTAGATTCAAATTAGTTCCACCGTGCATGGTTAATGTGATTACTAGAAAAGTTATGTTAAATTGTCTTCACATCGTCACATGCTTAATCAAATATTATTTGAAATTGCGTGATTAATCAGTGGGATTGTTGTTCTCATCAGATTAACTATATCACGGGGAATCTTTAATTTCTTTAGACATATATAATGTCACTCTAGAATGAGAGAATTAATTTGATTGACCAGTGTTGCAAATGTATATGTTATATGTACGTAGGATATTTAAAATTGTGAAATGAAAGCACTTACGTGAAATGTTGTTAGTTAATGAAGACTTATTATCACGAAGTTGTCTACTGATGCCCATATCAGAAAGCTTTGCACATAAACCTGAGCTTTTCCCAATTATTAAAACGTTTTCGGGCTTCAAGTCTCGATGAATGATACGTGAGTTGTGCAGATCAACAAGCCCAGAAACAATGCCCCTGTAAGATAATCATAAATTGAAAACATATATAAAATCAAATGATCAATTAATTAGCATGATAAATCTAATCCAAAAAGAAAGGACCAAAAAGATGACTCATTCAAAATTTTATCGAGTAACCTAATTGTCCTCAACTATGCATTAACACAATCTAAAGTTCTTTAGTTATGATTAAAGACACTTTTAACTAACCTCATCAATTTCAGTAATAAAGGTGAAGGACGATCATTTTCTTTCCAAAGCTTAACATCACCAAAAATATTCTTCACTTTCTCCAAGTACTCTGACACATGTTGATGTTTAGAAGAATTTGTAGAATATATTTGGATGAGGTCATCCAAATTGCAATGACAAAGCTCTAGAATGAGATAAATAAAGTCTCTGTCACGTTCCGCCCCATAATATCTTACAATATTTTCGTTTTGTTTAGATATTGCTATGAAATTTGTGATTTCTCGGTCAGCCATGTTACCATGACTTTGTTGAATACGTTTCACAGCAACTGCTATGTCATTATAACGCCCCTCATATACAACGGTCCCAGTGCCGCTTTTACCGATTTCCTTTGTTGAAACCAATAACTTTTTGCCTATCTGCCGCATTATATCATCAGAAGTAGTGCTTTCTGCTCCCTGTTGATTTACATAACAGATTTCTCATATATGAATATATAACTTGAAGTATAGATCCATTAAAACAATTGTTTTTATATTTGCTTGAAAGACGACATTAAAAAATAAAAAATAAAAAAAATAAAAAAATAAAAATAAAAATAAAAAACTTTACTCAACGAAAGTCATTAGTTTAAAGAATAATGTTAAAGACACTTATACTATTTGCACCCTTGAATTGTCATTTTTTATTAGGAGATGTTACTTATTAATGTGATATTTTATTGATAGATGTAATCTATTAAGTCATAAGTTGTCACTGAAATAATGACAACTTATGACTTCTTATAAAGATTGGGATTTGAATTGGTGCTCTTAGCATTATTCTTAGTTCAAGTTTACAATCTTGAGTCGCAAAGATGAATTTTCCAACACTCGATCAAAGACAGAGAGACTATGGGTTCTATCAAATAACAAACAGATCATGTAATAAAATATTTGACTCAATCGTAAGGACCCAAAGAAAAAATTATGGGCCCGTTTAGTTTGTTGATTCGAGTTAAGATGTGACTTTGTGTGAGAGCTTTTTACTGTAGTAAAAAAGTTAGATGTGACTGTTTTTTAGAGCTTTTTACTATAGTAAAACTTGAATTCTAAACTCAAATCGGTAAAATAAACGGGGCCTATATATACACAAACACACACGTTGATAATCAAAAGAAGCAGCCAGCATCTTGGCTTGGTGATCATAGTCAACAGCTTTGACTTTAAAGACTGCAAGTACATATTTGATCGTGGTCACCTCCGGACTTCTCTCATTGAAACACCAAACCACGGCCACTAACTCCGAGTAATTTTGTTTTTTAGAAAAAAAGAAGTTTTTTTACTAGGCCAGTCCTATTAGTAATGTTAAACATTACTGACTATTGGATTAAGTCAAAATCATATTAAATTAAAAAAGTATACATAACAGACAGTTTTTTATTCAGATTTGATGGCTAAAAATAAAAAAACTACCCGTAGTTTATTTTTTTAGTCATATGAGAGAAACTCCTTAAAATATTTTTAGCTTATATTAAAATTTTAATATTTTTAGAGAAGGAAAATAAAATTGTTATGGGTTGTTTTGATAAATGAGTTTGAACTATGGTTTTATATTTTATTACAATATTTTCTCTTAAAAAATTTCAATAATTTAAATTAGGGAAAAAGAGGGAAATATGCCAAGACTTGAGATGAATTAAAATTAATAGGCCAATAGTTTACATAAGTTAATAAATAGGCCAAATTACTGTTTTCGTCCATAACTTGTCTAGTTATAAACCATAATTTGACAAGTTATTGTCTATAATTCACAGTTTTTGTCCATAACTTGTCTGGCTATGAACTATAACTTGACAATTTTGTCCATAACTTATCTGATTATGAACCATAACTTGACATGTTATGGCCTATTAATTTTTATAACTAAAAATTGGCCTATATACTTTCTTAAGCTTTTCATATTGGTCTATTTCATACTATTTTCCTTTAAATTATGTTACAAAGTGATTTGAACCACCTGATATGAATCATAAACCAAACAAGGCCTTAATTCCCGAAATTAAGAAACTAACTTCCTCGTTTAAAAGTACAAAAATTAAAAAAAATAAAAATAAAGATCCACTTCTTCACACAGTTAGGAGGCAATGACCGGACAAGTACGGATCTGACATGTGTGTGATTTGTGACATACGAAATGAACAATAATACATCAAAATTATTAAACTTTATATAACAAACAAAAAAAACCGTTAGTCTTAAAGCTGTTAAACATAAATGAGAAGTTGGGATCTTAAATATACCTCGACATGTTTCGTAGATTCGAGCGGGATCTCCGTTTCTCTACTAATCGGACTTCCATTCTGGGAAACAAGTAATGTATGAATACAAAATATCAATTGCTAAGAGCGAAACATGGAGAAAGCGAAAGCGTGAAGTAACAATGGCAATGAGACGCGTTATTCAAAAAAAAAAAAAAATATATATATATATATAAAGCATACGAACAAACCGGTGGCTGGAATTCCCGACGGGGAACTAGGAAATCTTTCGAGGCTTCAGGTCCTTTCGAATATTCCATGTAAATAAAGAGAAGAAGAAATAGGGTTTTGTACTTTTTTTTCTTGCTAGAATAGGGTTTTGTTCTTGAAAGTCACATCAAAGCGCCAATCCTTTTCTTCTATATCTTCTCCTTTTTTTATTCTTAAAAAAAAGCGCCAATCCTTTTCTTTTTTCTTTCTCTTTCTTAAGGCTTTTTGTATTTTCTTAAAGGAGAAACTTTGATAGGATTAAATAAGTCATCCATAAGTAGTTTTTTATTTTTAGTCGTCAGATCTATATTAGTAAAAATATATATCTTTTTAATCTTATTTGATTTTAATAAGATCTAATGATTAGAAGCTAGTCATACTTCTAGGGAGACTGTAGCGAAGAAAGTCGCTTTTTGTTGTTGTTTTCTCTTTTTTTTTTTTTTTTCTAAGGGTCCCTTTGGTGGGAGATATAGAAGAATGGATGAATAGAATGGGAGAAAAGGAGGAGAGAATGATTATGAATTTTCTTAAGCTATATTTGGTAGAGTGGAAACGGGAGAGAAAAGAAATTGAATGAATGATTTTAGAGAGGAAAAGGGAATCTTAGGCTGTTCGGTGAAGGGAATAATTATAATAACCTTGAATCATTCAACGTATTTTTATTTGTATAAGGGTATTATTGTAAAATAAACTAGATTTGACAATTTTTATTTCCTTTTCATTCTCTTCTATCAAACAACATATAGAAAAACCTTTTTCCACTATTTTACTCTCATCACCTAGGTGTTTTACTTATCATTCATTTCTATTTTCCATCCTTCTTACCAAATATAGTATAAAATTATTTGGTATGATGGGAGGAATGAAAGATAATTATTGTTCATTTTTTTGTTTAGTAGTGATGGAAAGGAGGAATGAATGGTTGATATTTTTATCATACCACCCACATGCACTAAATAAATAAACTTATTTGCTTAATTAGTTTTATTTTATTTGCTAAAATATAAATAATCATATAATAAATGTTACACGGTTTTAATTATATTGTTACCTAAAATGCTCTATAGAAAAAAATGCTTTACATTTATAACTACTTGTACTTTTATGGAAGCTTTCCTAGTAGGATTAAAAAAAAAAGGTACTACTGGTAATTTTTTATTTTTAACCATGAGATATTGTAATAAAAACTGTCTAGTCTGTATACTTTTAAAATTTAATATGATTTTTACTTAATCTAATAGTAAGAGAAAATACTGAGAATGAATTTAAAATTTAGAAAGCATCAATAATAATAATTATTTTTTAATGAAAGAGAGATATCAAGAATTATTAAGACATTCTAATTAAGTTGGCACCCCTTAAAAAACCTATTTCATTTATGCAATCTTCCAAAAATATTAAAACTAAATGCCATGATATTTTTCTGTGACATGATTTGAAAAATTAACAAAAATATTAATTGAATTGCCAGCGTTATTTTTCACTCTTGAGATGAAATAAAAGACTGAACGCCGTTAACATCGACGCAAGCTGTATAACGTGTCAAATTTTAATTGGTAGAAGAAAATTAGAGGACTGATGATCCTTAAATTGCGGATGAACACTTAAAGCTGGAGTAGTAAAATCAACCAATAGAATGTTAAGATGGTGGCCGTCATCTACCAATAACTGTACTTCATGGGATCCCAGACCTTTCTCCGAATTTCTTGTCCAACGAATTTGCTGTCCCATGACTAAAGACAGCGACAACTCACGTGACTGGCGGTAATGTTAAGTGGGCACTGTTTAGCGTACACCCGAGCCGGAAACAAGGCACTGTTTAGTGCTTGGCTCGAGGAATTATGGGCAGATTCCCAATTATTTTTTTCCTTTTCAGAGACAACGAGGGTACATCCCAAAATTTTTGGCCGCATCAGCAGATTCTTTTTTCTGCCCTAAAGGGCATGATATTGAAATACGGAAAACATTCCTATATTTATTTATTTTTTTATTTTTTCTTAAGTGCATGTCGATGGTAGTAGGCGTTAAAAGTCCCCACTAGTAGGGTCGGTCGGACGGTTGTTTGTGATGAGATTTGTTGTGTCAAATATTAAATTAAACGGGTTTAAAATAAAATATGAATAATAGAAAAATTTAAGAGATAAAAAGATTTAATATGATTCAACTTTAGCCTATGTCCACGAACAGAAACGGCGAAGAAATTTCACTATAACCGAAAGAGATTATAAAAACTGATCAAATATCTTTCATTACCTAAATTCCGAATACACTAAAAATCTCTCAACCTAAAAGTAAGAACTCTAACTGTCAAAGAATAATTTTATGACCAAATATTCTTACACCAAACAAAAGAGAGAAAACTGTGTATCAATGGGAGAAACCAAACTATGCGGCTACTATACTCTTGCGGGGCTCTAACATATACATATAGCATATATAATGCTTTCTCCAAGTAAAGGTCGTCAAAACCAAACCTACCACAACACTAAAACAAAGGGAAAGATATGGGCCTCGGGCCCAAATTTAAAAACATCCTTTGTAGGCTTAATTTGAAGCCACACGCCTAATAATCTCCACCTTAGTGAAAATTAAGCCAAGTTAAAATAATGAAACCTCTCTGCCATCTCCTCTAAAACCCCATAGGGCAAATTCCAATTTACAATACCAAATAAGTCCAACCGAAACCACATTATCAAGCTCTACCTGCTCATGAACACCGGGATCTTTATCTGAAACTACTAACTCCCTGTCTTCAAATAAGATAGCAAAATCATCAACTCTGCAAATTAGCAAACTTGGTGACTTGGCTCAACAAACCACAACCAATAGCTGTTCACCCCAAACTCAAATGCTATGAATGTTTTTGCCCCCCTTCGCTTAAGTTTACCATCATTCACATGAGCACAAACAGAACAACAAAATCTCAAAACAAAATCAACAGAGCGACCAAACCATACCTAAAACGGAGTCTTCAATCCAAATGCAGTTGATGGAGATCTAACCAAATAGCAGGCTGAAAAACCAAACTTAGAACGCAAACAACAAGCTTTTCCTAAGAGAGCTGAATTCATACTGTCTGCGACTAACAACGGTTGTGGCAAATCCCAAATAGTGCGGTGTCTCACTATCTTCTTATCGCAGAATCCGTAACTCTCACCAAATTGCACACCATCATAGTCATCAATAAACATCAAAACTGACAACCCTACATCACTCACATGACCCGAATGCAAATTTCATGAACGAGTGATCCTAAAATCTGGATCTAAGCAAGATGAGACCGTAGTAGCACCAACAATTGTACTACTCTACAGAAAATAGAGGCCACTATGTAACTCTCCCTTAATCACCATAGAAGCTCCCTTACTAACTCTCAGAACTCCACCTTCAGCAGAATATCTATGACCTTGTGAGTTGAGAGTCCTCAAAGAAACAAGACTTTTTTTCAAATCTAGCACATGTCTAACATCAGTCAAAGTCATAAATCTGCCATCAAACATCTTAATTTTGACTCTTCCAATACTCAACAATATTAGCTTATGCTTCTTCACCCGTTTTCTTATTTCCCTTGAGCTTTGGGCAATCAACTTTCTAATGCCCTGGTTGGCGACAATAGTTGCAATTGCCCTTTCTATTTTTAGACTTTTCTCTACTTTTGTTTTGGCCTTTTTCAATTCCTCTACCTCTTACAACCAATGCACCTGATTGATTTTCATTCCAATTTTTGGACACCTTTTTCTTCAGTTCTTTAGAATTCAAAGACGCCTTAACATCTTTCAAAGAAATAGTGTCTCTACCATATAACATAGTATCAACAAAGTGCTCATATGAACGAGGTAAAGAACACAACAAAATTAATGCCTGATCATCATCATCAATTTTCATATCAATATTCTTCAAATCCAGAATAATTCTATTAAATTCATCAAGATGACTTTGAATAGATGTACCTTCTGACATGCAAAGAGTGTATAAGCGCTATTTCAAATAGAGCCGATTGGTGAGAGACCTAGTCATGTATTGTCATGACCAAAAAATTTATCAGAATTATTGTATAGGATAATATTTTCTAGAATCCTTTGTATCATTAATATAAATACTTTTATGATAAGTATTTGTTGATATAAGTATGGAATAGCAAGTTATAAGCTAAAGTTTAGAAATTTCTGAACTACGATGCAGTTACCGATTTTCGGACTGTATTTAAGAAAGAAGTATGGAATGTTGTGTTAAGCCCACAAGTGGGTAAACACATGAATGATAAGTTTAAGAAATGGAAAAGAATTGAAAGACATCAATTCTAGGGTTTTAGAAACGATCGGAACGAAAGACAGACGAAAAAGTGGTTCGGAAGGCCGAACCGAAAAAATTGGGGTTTCGACTGATTTGAGTTGACCAAGTCAAGATTTGTTGACGAAGAGTCGACCAAAACTTCACCCTCAAAAAGTTAGTCAAGAATGATCAAGGTGACTAAGTTGACCATCTGTCTGAAAAACACGTATAAAACGTGTACCGAATAGGAATTTAAACTGAACCATAATAGGATAATTATTAAATGATAAATGGTTGAGATTAAAAGTGAAAAATTAGATGGAAGGCTGAGATTGAGCCATGTGGCATGCAAGGTGGCCGGCCAAGACTTAACGAAGAAGAAAATGAAAGATATTTTTAGGATATGTTGGGAATTTTGCAAAAGGTTCATGGAAAAGTCAAGATTTCATTTTTCTGGACTTTTGCTTATGTATTGGTCGGTTCATCAAAGTTGTATTACGTGAGAAATAGTTATTTCCCATGCTAAGAATAGAGGGAACTCAGCCAAAGAGAAAGGAAGAGAAAATTCATCCAAAGTGAGAAAAGTGAGTTTTGATCGAAATCGATGAAACGACACCGCTAGTTCACGTCACTGAAGCTTGTTCTTCAATCTCTAAGGTGAGAATTCAAATTTTTCTTGTTATTTCCCTACCATAGTTACACGTGTAGTATAGGGGAAAAGATGGAAAAAAAATTCACTTAAAAGGAAGATTAGCTTATGATGATTAAGGAACTTAAGAATGGATGGATCAAGGATAGATTCTAGGTTATTTGACCTTTGTTTCTATCAATTTTTGGTATGGAGAAATTTCAACCCTAGAAATTGTTGTGTAATTGAAAGAGAGAGTATGTGAAGGGTGTTTGGTGGTGGAAATAATGGATAAAACGAGCTAAGGTTAGCTCGGGAAACATAGAGAAATAGGCGAAACTCTGCTGAAATTTAGTTTGAACATTGTTGAACTAAAACCGGATTTCAAGAAGAGTAAGAGATTAAAGTGTGAAAAGAAACGTGTTTCGATAACCGGTGAGGTATAGAAACCGAACACAATGAGAATTCATAGTTTTAAATCGAAACTGAAAATTTGGCCATGACTGAGGAAAGTGCACGGTTTTATTGCAAATTCTTGAGATAGGAAATATTTTGGGATAGAATACCAAACATAAGGATTGTAAACCTTTCCGAAGTAAATTTCAATGCAATTATTGATCTTAGATTTTGAATCTAATGATCAAAATTTTATGCAATAGGATCGATTAATGATTGAAGTCAGAAAGCGTCAAGGGAGACAAAGGGCGCGTCGTTAGTGAAACTTTTGTAGGTATAGTAGTTTTTCTATGGCTATATCACGAACAAGCTTGCTTTTCTATGTTGCACAAAAATTGTGCATATGGTTGAATTTTGAATGTTAGATACAATGTGAATATTAGATTCAATGCTAAGCAGGTATCTACAAGACTTAAGTAGTCGTAAAACTTTATTATGTGAAAACTATGTATTCATGTTAAGTCGAGGTCAAGCTAAGAGAAAAAGTTAACCTTTAACGAAAAGTCAATCTCATGATAAATTGCTCAAAAATGAACAAATTCATAAGATTTAACTAAAGTTACCGTTTCAATGAGAAAATTGATAAACGGTAAGAGACTAAACATCATGTTTGTACCAGCCTTCGAAGGAAAGGTTATTATGAGACTATGAAAGAAATGAAACCATGACTGAGTTGGATTGGTTAACTACCCCACTCATTAATGGTTATGCGCGCTATGGTACAACAGGACAGGGCCCATAAGAAGTAAAAGACAAGAAAATGAAAAAAAAAATCGTTTCATATAAAGGTTCGGCATCTGTAAAGAAGAATGAAAAGAATGTGAACGCAAAATGAAAGTTGTTCAGAACGTAAAAATACAATATGATCGACTATAATGAGACGAAAGCTAAACAAAGTATGAAATGAAAGAAGAAAAACATAAACCATACCTGTTTTAGTAGTACATAATGTATTAAGATATATGACATGAATGCATATATGGGTATGCATAATTATTGCATCTGTTATGACCTATTGATACTTGCTGAGCGAAAGCTCATTAAGTTTGTTGGTGTTGTAGAAAGCTCGGGTAAGGTACCGGCTCCCTGAAACTTGTTGCTGGGCATGCAGAGAGGATGTCGCAGCAGAGTGTGGGTAAGTGGGTAGTGGATGTATCACGTGTTTTGAAAATGCTGTGGAACTTTATGTGTAAAATGAAATAGTTTTTTATGAATGAAAATAGAATGCTAGCTAAATGCTACAACATTTAGATGTACATGGTAAAAAAAAAAAAATCGGCCTGAATTTTTAAGAGGTTATAACTCATGAGTAGTAAAGGTTAAGAAATGTTAAGTATGAACATAGGATGATGATCAAAAGTTAGGATCATTACAATTGGTATCAGAGAGACGGTTCTGCCATCCACCCACATTCTGCTGAGCATTTGACACTATATTGGCCAAGTAAGCTATTATTTCTTTTGAATTTAGAATTCAATGTGTGAATTTTGTCCTTATAGGATATACGATATGGTTCGGACAAGACAAACTCAAACGGTTTTTTACTGAGATTATGACTGACCACACAGGAACATGATGCATGTTGCGAACTATGGTATTTCCAGGATGGGAAGTTACATATACCCACACCACACCCAGTTTTTAGAGGAAGTAACACAATTAGAAGAAACATTGGCTATAGAACGAGAGGAGCAAGAATGGCGTGTTAGTGAGTGTCGAATGGAGTTTGAATGTAGGCAGAGAAAATACCTACGTAGAAATAGATCAGTGTTGAAATATAAGATAATCATACTTGTCTTATGTAAGTAAAGAATGATGAATGTATATCTATGTTTTTTGGATATGTGTGTGTATATGTATACAGGTATACAAATGAATCAAATACAGAAAAATGCGGTTACCTAGAGAATGCATTTTTTTTTTCAAATGATAAGTGTGGTTAAAATGCTATGAGAATGCTACCACATTTAATAAAAGTTGTATTATTTTAAAACAACTTTATATTATAAAATGATGCTAAGACTTATTTAGATTTATACATACACACATATCCAGAAATTTAGCCATGTTTACCACTATTCCTCTTATATAGACACACAGAAACATGGTTCATCCACATAGAGAACCTTTGGTTCAAGAACTAGGAGTGGATTTAGCTGCCACCATAGCTAACTTACGAGCCAGGCTGGAGGCTCAAGAGTATGAAAATAGAAATTTACGGGCACAATTAGAGCAAAGAGACCAGGAACAGGAGCAAAGAAGAGTGCCACCTATTCAACCTGCACCGCAACCAGAGCCTGCAGTGATGCCAGAAATGGTGCCACAAGCTATGCCAGTTGCTAATCAGGAACCCTTAAATACGAGGTTTCGTAGGATGAAGCCACCAGAATTTAAAGGTTCCACAGACCCATTAGAAGCCGAGGAGTGGTTAACTTCACTCCAAACGATTCTGGATTTCATGAATCTAACGGAGCAAGAAAAAGTTCTCTGTGCTTCGTATGTGTTAAAGAAAGATGCTCGCTACTGGTGGGAGACAGTGGTAATGAGAAGAAATGTGGCAATGATGACTTAGAATGAAATTGAACAAGGGTGATATGTCGCCGGAGAAGGTGTAACGAATGGGAAAATTTTAGGTCTAATCCGGACAGTCCGGTATTTGACCGAAATTCTCTCCAGAATAGAAAGGTAGTAGAATTTTAAGCTTGATCAAGAAAATGCTATGTATAAAATTTATGTACGGGGTAAAATTTCTCAAAAAGAGTAAAGTTATAATACAAATATTTTTACAAAGAAAATTCATAAATATCAGTTGTGAATAGTAAAATATCAGTTAAAAGTTACAAATTTTAGCTGGTATATTTTAGTTATGAAAAACTGAAATATTTGGTTTGTGACCAAATGATCAGCTAGAAAAAGAGTAGAAATATTAGAAGTACAAAAAATAGTAAAAGTTCCTGAAACAGGATTTTCTCGAGTCAGTTAAAGCGGGAAACTGCTAAAAAAATGAGTACCGCAAGGGTATGCGTTTTGGGCAATTCTGAATCAATTAAAATGATAATTTCAGAAAAAGAAATTGGCTAATGAGATACCCAAGAGAATTAGGTTGAACATGAGAAGTTTGACCCAGGGTGCTCGACAGTCCAGAAAAGCATTATAGAACCTGTACTGGTTGTGAAATTATCAGTACTGGAAAGAGACTCGTTTTGAGAAACGGAAAGTTTGGTCTCGACAAAAAAAATGTGGGGAACATAAAACCACTCAAGTTAAGTGTTAAACTTAAGAAGAATTAGTAAAATTAAATTATGAGAATTAAAGTAATTTCTTTAATTTAATTTAGAAAGTAATATTAAGATATTATTAGAAATATTAATATAATATTCATATTAGTCTTATATTGGCCTACGTGAGACTTAGAAGCTAAATACCATTTCGTTGCCTAAGTGTGGCCGAC